TCAGAGTTAAAATATTGGAAGCTTAGTGTATAGGTTTCATGTGTTTCTGCTTCTCAGCTTTGTGGTGAGGGACAGAAGGGAAGAAATCCTGTCTAGAAGAAGTTGCACTGTCAGTCAGGTTTTTTGATAAAGACATTAATTTAAAAAAATTACCTAAACTGTGTGTATCAAGGACAAATACAAATAAATTACTGACAGAGCAATTTATCTTTCCAAAGAATGATGCTAACAGAGTGTCTTAGGGGGCACAATTGCATTAGCTTTTCAAACAAAAGTAACCATTCTTGTAATAGGAGTGGAAGTTGACTGCAAGATAATTTCATAGGTCTGCTTTTGTTTTAATGTAATTTAGATTATTTATCTAAAGTGTTTTTTTTCTGCACTTCCCTCCAAACTTTTCAAAAAGTTAAACTAATTGCTAGGTGGTGTGCACAAGAAGATAGTCAAGGAGATATGCAAGGAGACTTCCTTATTATTAGCTAACTTCAATAATCAGCTAAATATGCTTTAGCTATGTCACAGGCTTATTCCAAGGATCATCTAGAGAAGAACAGCAGCAGTTTGTGCCTGTAAATGTTTGTGTTTGTGAAATGTTAGTAGGGTCTAAATAACTTAAAAAGATAGAAAGCCCTTAAAGTTTATCATTATACGAACTTATTCTTAGGAACTTATTCTCATCCCCACTTAGGACTCCTGCTTCAGTGTCGAAATGATCTTCCACAATCATGCACATATAGAAAGGGAATGTTGAATAAGATTAGCAACATAAATCTCTGCTGCTTCATAAGTTTTACCCAGCTGCTTGGTGATTTCACAGCTGCTTCTGCAGTTGATAACAATTTCCATCGCTCTGCTTTCTGCAGAGTTGTTAGACTGCTCTGCTGCAGATTCTACCTTGTCCCTATTTGAATGATGAATCTTTTAAAAAATCCAATAACAGAAATTAACAATAGTAAATATAATGAATTTATGTTTATTACAGTGAGTTCTTGGACTCAGTTTGCCTTTGGTTTTGTTTTTTTCTGAGAGGAGTTTTCGGGATTGTATTACTTAGGTTTTGTTATAGAAGAAGAGATTTAAAAGGGTTTTTAGTGGGAATCATGTTGTTACTGTCAGTTTACAGCTAGGAAAACCAAGGCACAGGGAGATGAAATGATTTGCTCAAAGAAACTGGAATCAAAGAAGAGACAAAACCCCAAGTATTCTGAGTCATGATTCACATAGGTGAAGTGAGCAATAGAAATGAAGATGAAGGAAATTTTTAACTTCAGAAATTCATGTGCATTACCTTTTCCTGCCTAGCTAGTTCTGGGGTGCTTGCCTGAGTTGTGACACTCATGGTCGAGATGTCACATCATCAAAGGAAAATGTTACACAGGGCCATAAATGGGTGGCTGCTGCCAAGAAAAGAGGCAGAAACCACTAGGAGAGCCAGAGGGATAACATCTGCTTCAGTTAGGTTAGGAGCAGGAATCAGCATTCAGTGGGAGCTTTTCCATGCAGGAGTTTTGTTCTTAAGAAGCTGATAAATATTCAACAACTTCTCTTGTAGGAAACTTCCATCCTAGAATATTGTCACCTCCAAGTCATCATTCAGCAACATCTGACACTTCAAAGCCTGGAGCGGCTCTTTCTGCTGCATGACTCTGCCTTGAATTGATATATGAGACATCTTAAGCAGTCTTCCTCTGCTTACTGAGCCAAGGGATTTGTTACGATGGATTTCTCATGGACCTGGTAGGTGTGCATGCTGATGGATTTCATGTCTTTTCAGTAAATCTCGACTTACGCTTATTTGTGGGTAAAACATTCCTCTCCTGTTTATCCAGTGGTAGCCACAGATTGCCACAGAAACACATTCTTCCTCCGAGTCAAAGTAGTTCCTTAAGATAGTACTTCTAGTATGATTAGTGAGAGGATGCTGGTGTTGCCGGGTATCTTTGCCTAAATTTCTTACCCTGAAACTTGAACCAATTCACCTGTTGGCGTAAGTCAGAAGTGATTTTGCTGGCAATGAGGATCTAATGCCCTGTTTTCTAGGGCTGAATACCTTTACTCACACTTCAAATAGGTTCTGTTGTTTATTTAACTTACAGTATTTGAATAGAGGTTTGTTTATTTGTTTTATATGAATGCCTGTCTGCTTACATCCTATTACAGGGAAGAACTGTGCTCCTCAGAAGTCAGCAGGTATTTTGCCCCTGACTTAATTTTGGAGATGTTATGAGATTTTTTTAAAAAATCATGTTAGTTTTGACTATAGAAATATATCTTCTTTCTTCATAAATTTCTGTACGACATCCAAGAGATTTAATGCTCATTGGGGATGTATCTGAAGCAAACGGACGAGGACTCTAGAGAAGGGAGTAAATATATTTAGAGTAAATGTTAAAGCTTTTCAGAATAATCATGTTTATTATGAGCCCAATCCAAAGCCTTTTCAAGTTTGCTTATTTCTGTGACTGTTAGAGTATTTGGACTTTTGAATAGTTATTACAATGTATTTGGAAGTAAGAGACCTTATATATTGAAAATGGTTAGTTTTTTTCCTCTCTCAACTTTAATAGTAAAATGTTGAACAAATTGAATGTGGCTAATGGTAGAATCAAAAAAAAAAAGGTGACATTTGGGTTCCACATTCTCCCATTGTGCTAAACTTCTGTAACATTTTATGGATAAGTAATGCAGCAACATAGTGGTGCCAGTGTGAGTCTCACTGCTCTGTAAGTCGTTATTGAAAATGCAGAACTTGAGCTCAGGTCCATGTGGGAACAGATCGATGGCGCCCTAGGCAACCCCATGGCTTTCCTGGGATCTTTCAACTGATATAAAAAGTGCTTAATCATGTGTTATGATCCAAAGGACAAAGCAACAGAACCTAGGAGAACCTAGCATATCTAAGGTGTCAGCATAGATACATTTGTTTTGTCTGATAAGCACTGTTCAGATCCTCTTCCTGCCCTTCAAGATACCAAATACCTTCACAGAAACACAGAATTATGGAATGGTTGTGGTTGGAAGGGACCACTAGAGGTCACCTGGTCTGCCCCCGGCCCCCCTCAAGCAAGGTCACCTAAAGAAGTCTTCCCAGTAATGCCCAGATGGCTTTTGAATCTCTGCAAGGATGGGGACTCCAAAACCTCCCTGGGCAACCTGTGCCGGTGCTCAGTCACCCTCACAGTAAAAAAAGTGCTTCCTGATGTTCAGGCAGAACCTCCTGCGTTTCAGTTTGTGCCCATTTCCTCTTGTGTTGTCAGTGTGTGTGCTCAGTGCGCGAACTTTTGTTGTGCTGAGCATTGTCATTAGGGAGGGAAAGGCTCCTCTGTCTTGTAGCTGCTGAGCCCCTTGCAGGACTGAGCGCTGAAGACAGCTGTGTGCAGCAAGATACAATATTGAGCTGAGCACTGTTCCTTAGAGCAGTAGAACAAAAGCTTTGTCAAACCAAATCTGAACTTTCCTTCTCTCATTAGGGTTCAAGGAAACTCAGATACAAACTCTGTGACTAGACACACAGTATAGCCTGATTGTGTATGTGTTTAAAAATAGTGAAATCCTCTTTCTCGCAAAACACACAGTCAGTTGTATGAGGTACCGAGATACAAAACCAAGGGCTTTCCACAATGGACGAATATATCTTAGCAACAGGGGTGGGAGTGGTGGGAAAGGAAAAGGAGAATACAAGTATCTGGCAATTAACTTCCTAGTCACAGATGTGAAGGTGATAAAAGTGATAAAAGCATTACTGCATTGCCAACGTTCTTCCTTGTTCTCTGAGCTGCATATCATGCCACTTATAAGAGCAACTACCCAGCCCGGGCTGGAGAGTGGTGGAGGAATCCTGTGAGCTACGTGCAGCAGGGAAACCTACTGGTTACCCAGTGTCCCAGTCTCTGTTGTATGTGGTGGGGTGCACTGAGCGCACAGCCTGGTCCAAGCCAGCACAGCCATGGAAGCCTCAGCATTGTCAGAGGCTCACTGCAGACGCCAGGGCGGCCCCCACACCACCAGAGTTGGAGTGAGATGGCCGACGTCTGTCGTGGCAGCCCGTAGTGGTGGAGAACCACGGGCTCATCTTGTCCTGATCAGGTGGGCTCCGGTTATGCACTGGGCTCCATGGAGCCAAAAGCTATTTTGCCTCATAACGCAGATGCAATCAAACTGTACATGCTCTCTGTAGGACTGAGAGCGTGTATACAATATGGAGACGAGGAAAGCAACCTAGTGTAAATAAGATGAATGAAGATAAATCTCTCTCCCACGCAGTAACATGCATGTGGTTTCATGGACTTACAAGAGACCCATTGCTTTTGCATTAAGCCAATTTAAACAGCAAGCTGACCGTTTGGCATTGATGTTGCTGTTACAGTAGGTTCACCAGCTTTCAGCTGGTGTTTGCTGAGTGCAAGGGAACTGTCTTCGTCCCCATTCCCCCCACATCCATACCTAGTCGTGACCATTTGAATTTTTTCCCTAAGTAGCACTTGTGTTGAGAAAAGGTCCTGTTGCGTGCTGGGCCAGTTCTTGCTCATGTTACTGTCACGTGCATTGGAGTAAATCTGTGTAATGTATGTGTATAGGTGTATATATAAAGAAACTGGGAAAAAGCGTGTGAGCAAGAGTAGAATTTTTAACCAAAACAGCCCGTGAACTTCACCTCCTCGTGAGAAGATGTAATGCCATTGAAATCTAAATTACATCCAGAAATACTGACTTTAGGATGTAACTCAAAGTGGGATTTGGCCCACAACACTTTAAGGTTGGTGTCTGTCTTGGTCTGTGACTCTGTTCTTTCTGGCACTTATGCACATGCTGAAGACTACTGTAAGAACTGATTCAGATCCTCCATAATCAGTAGTGTTAGAAATAAGCTTGTGTATAAATCCTTGCAGGGTCAGAATGTCTGCTTGTTTGCGATCCCGAGTGGGATACTTCTGTGTCACACTTCTTAGTTGAACTTATGCTCTTCTCTCCACAGTGCAATGTGTGTTCAGCAGAGCCTGCTCTAGCCTAAGAACGGAAGAAGTCAAGACAATCAAGATGACAAACGAACCTATTAAAGAGATCCTAGGTGCTCCAAAGCATCCTGATTCTGTAACCACAGAGAAGAGTAATAACAATGACTGTGTGATAACCACCATCCCTCTTGTTAGTGAGTGCCAGCTGACTGCAGCAACAGGGGGAGCAGAACTCTCCTGTTACCGCTGTACCGTTCCCTTTGGTGTGGTTATCCTCATAGCCGGCATTGTGGTTACTGCTGTGGCATACAGCTTTAATTCCCATGGATCAATCATCTCAGTGTTTGGATTAGTCCTCTTGTCATCAGGACTCCTTTTGCTGGCTTCTAGTGCAGTGTGCTGGAAAATCAGGCAGCAAAACAAGAAAGCAAAGAGGCGGGAGAGCCAGACAGCGCTTGTGGCAAATCAGCGAACCCTGTTTGGTTAAAGACAACCAAGAGAAGGCTGGACAGAAGACAGAATCTTTGTAAGTCGACTTGACTATTTATCAGTAGGAGAGATTGCAGGTTTTAATTTAACTTTGGAAACGAACTGAAATGAAAATGGAATGGATTAAGAAATACTCTTAAAAACTCTGCAAGTGCTCTTAATATTTTTCTTACTGCAGACTTGGTAGTGATTCTTTCCAAGACAGAGGAAAAAACACTTTTCCTTCACAGAAAACAGTGCCGTCGTAACTGCAATCGTCATAACTCCATTCTCCAACATGCTGATCATATTGGAAAGGGAACTTGTGAGAATTAAGAAAATTATTTTGAACTGACTTGAAATGCCAGAAATGCCAGAGATCTCCTTAAAATACGTACTGTGACATTTGACCAAGGGAGAAGTCACAGCATTTGAAGTGACTACAAGCTTATGGCCAGATTGTCCATGACTTAAATTGTAGCTCAAAAAAAAAAAAAAAAGGCAATAACAACCAAACACAGTGCAGATTGCTCAATAAGCTGATTCTGATATTTTATGTAACTTTCCCCTCCCAATATCTGTGGTACTTTCCCCCTTTTTTAAACCAACTAATATTAATTTTGTTTTACTATTGAATAGAAATAGGTAGAAATGTGTAATTATATTGTCTAACCTAAATAACGAGGTATGATTATAGCTTAAAACACAAGACTTTTTTTGTAAATTAAAGTGGTCAGGTTTAGCACTTTTGATTATTTTGCTATAAAATTAAAAAGTAAATTTCATTAAAATAATATTCAGTGCTGCTAGACCTTTAGAAAATCCTTTTTTATTGCTATCAAAATAGCTTGTGTCTTTAACTTTGTCTACTTTGTGATTCTGTTTTTGTAGTACATCACCTATGACAATAACTGTGAACATATGTACTGCTGATCTCTTCCAAAAATCTCTGTAGACTATGGATTTTGGTTTGATAGCCCGTACCTCTTGCAGCTTGAAAAATCATAAGGATCAGTTCTGTAGACACTTAACGGCATAGTCAGTTTTAGACACAACTATTAATAATTACTTGTGGAAGCAACATCATCTGTGTGGTAAGTGTTTGCTGAATGAGCTTTGGAATTACGAATCTTTATGAAAAGCAGGTGCCCGGTGTCCCCTGTGTCCCCGAGATGTTTGATTCTGTAACTCTTGTGTTCTAGAGGTCTTCCAGCTTTTCTCAGGCAATGAAGAATTGAGGGCTGGTCCTGATTTTAAGCAAACCAGAACATTATTTCTGCATCTGTATCTTGAAGGACAAGTGGTGCTGAGCCAAGTCACAGACTTACCCCCAGCGTGTATGAGGGTGTCAGAAGGCAGAGGGGCTGCATGGAGTCCTCTTTCCTTTTTTGTCTCTCTCTCCTCCCCTCCTGCCGCCCTTTTTTTCCCCAGACTCAAAAGGGCTGCATGTGATTCTTGCTTTCCGCTGCTACAGCGAGCGAGGCCTGTGCCAGCGTGACTCCTCTTTGCCCTCCGGAGCCTCTGGCATCCACGACGGCTGTGGCGGTGCCGCTGCAGAGCTCACCTACCGACTGCTGAAATCACCCAGGCGTGCTGGCTGAGGTGCTGCCTTTTCCTCTGCCCTCCATGGTTTAAGCTCATTACATCCATAACTTATCCCCGGATTTGCAAAGTGCACTTCATGTTTTAAATAGAGCGAGCTATATGTATGGGAGGGGATGTTTGGAGTAAGTATTTGCGTTGCCACACTCCGTGGTTACCAGACGCTATAATAAAATCACTTGCATCAGAGGAAAGCTGACAACACATTTTAGCACTTCCATAGCCCTAACTTAATCACGGCAGGAAGCTTTCCTGCTGCTAGGAGAACATGTTGCGTCACCAGAACATCTGACACCGGTGTCTAATGTCAATCACTTTGCTTAAGGTCATTAAAAATATTAGGGTGTCCCCTTACGATGTACAGGTTTTGCATGAGTGACAATTCATGGGAAATGCGTAGCATGATAAATAATGGAACAGGTGGACTAAAGTGGTGTCTTTCCTGTTTAAAATGAGAAAAGTGATTGACATTAGCAAAGCTGGATAAGCTAAATAGGGCTGTTTATTTTTTTTTTCCCCTGGGAACACAACAGTTTTTCTAACTCCTTCTTCCCTCTCCCCATTTCTTTTCCCTCAGAGGAATTTTGCAGGCAGCCGAGGAGAGAATTGCAGGGGCTATAGAGATGCAGTGATTTCCACTACACATGTGTACCAGCTCAGCCCCATGATTCCCAGGCTGAGCGCAGAGCAGAAGCAGCCTGTTGCCCTCTTCAGAAGTCTTTCCCATACATGGGTCCTCCCTTCGCCATTGCTGTGATACAGGCGAGGTTGTGTGCAGCGTGTGGAAGGAAAATAGAAGTGCAAGGTGCGGCTCAGCTCCAAGTCAAAAGAAAAGACCAAACTCAGTGGAATGGAGGCAATGGGGTTTTGGGAGCAGTTTTAACAGGAAGGGTAGATAAGAGTAAGAGTTGCTCTGCTACTACTAGAGATTTCCTTTCCCTTATCTCTGCTCTCTTTTTTATCTGCACTGCATATACAAGGACACAGCAGAGTACTTGTACTACCCTCTGCCTTGCTAATTGTGGGGTATCTACACATTAAGCAGCATGTAAGCAGTGACAGACAGCATTGCAATGACCCTGGGCATGATCCCCAGCATAACAAAGCTTCAAATGCAACATGGTGTCCCGTAATACCAGCTAATGGACAGGTTGAGAGGCCTCTGGGTAATATGGGGCTGTCATAGCCCATGCTGTTGAGCTTAGTAGCATCATCTGTATCCTAGTGAGACAAGGTATGTGCACAAGCATCTTCATATCCAGCAGTGAGTGAAAGTCTGCGCAGGAATTCACTCTTCTTGTCCTTTATTCAGAGAAGCAAAATAGTAACTATGTGGGGAAGAAACCCAGCACCTGGTCCCAGTGTCCTGCAGGAGCAAGGCAGAGGTTGTGAACGGTTTTGTCGGAGACCTCATGCTGTTGAAGATGTTTTCACATGTTTCATCAGTAAATTGCTACATAGCCTTAGAAACTGGCACAGGCTTCTCCACCATGATTTGTGTACATTAATTTTGGGACAGTCTGAAGTGGTAGTAGCATCTTTTCTGAATAGACCATCCAACACAAGTCTCACAGTCTATGGTTCTTCTTCCTGCAAGTCGACATATTACAGACATTTTCATTACTATCCTCTCTCTCTCTGCACCGCTTGTCCTGGTTCCAACACAGGAAGAATACATTCTTTTTACCCCGTAAAAAACAATCGTTCTGGGAGAGGTGCTATGTGAGTACAGTGTGACAGACTTAGCACCTTCATTTTTCACATCATGGTGATATGTTTTTTACAATGGCACATTTACAGTGCTTTTACAAGGGTCAACTGCCTCAAACTGGTCAGCTACAAACAGCAAAATTTCTGTTTCAGCTTTTGAACCCCATGACCTAATCTGGATTGACTTGGAGTTTCATGCCTGGATGCTGGGTCATGCAGGCCACCAAATCTTTGATACAAAGCCATTTGGAACTCCACAATTGCTGTTTGGTGTTTCTCATGGGAACCTGAGAGGCAAAAGTCGGCCTGGAGGATGCAACCCTGTGGAGATCACAATGACTTTCCAGTTCAGAAACACCTTCCCTTCTGGTGTTAAAAAGCTTTGAATGCGACAAATGGTCTTTCGGTTCTGGGAGAGGTTGGGTGGGAGCTGATGCAAATTTTATTGTCACAATTGCTTGTCTCTCCCTTCCTGAAAGCTCTGGCAGCATTGCGCAAGCAAAATTGCCCTCACAAGGATAGAAAATTATCTAATAGGGGAATTGCGCTGGTGCACCGGGCAAATGTTACGGGGATCTTAAATAATAATTTCAAAACCTAAGCACAGGAAATTGTGTCTGTAACTACACCCTGTATTGCTATTGTACACAAAGCCAGTTATAGCCTGGGACAGTATTTTAAAATAATAATCAGTTTGGTATGACAATGCCTAGTATTTGTTTAAGTCAAAACGCCCAATTTACGATTCCCCAGTCACTTAACGTGTCATGTTTTGTACGTGACTGTGGTTCTAATATCATAATTTGCCAGGTTAAAAAAAAAAAAAAGAGAGAAAGGTTAGTTTCGTGGACTTGTGTCAAGAATTAAGTTTCTCTGCCTTGGACACATGGGAGAGCTCCTGTTACCAAACAACGAATGTACAATATTACTGCAGCTTTACAGAACAGGAACCGGGCTCGGAGTATGGAATGAAGAAAGGCCTGAGAGTGTCATCAGGATGCATAAGGGTCAGGCCAGGAAAAAGCCCTCTAGAATATCTCGTATTCTTGCCTCAGTTTTGCTTATCCAGAGTCGAAGTCCAAGGCTACCGCTCCTTTAATATCTGGAGGTTGTTGCATATTATTAGGAGGTTTCACCTAATTTGTTTTAAAAATAGGCTCCAAAATAAGAGCAGAACAATATTGGCAGCCATCATTTTGTATATGTATTTCAAAATACCTCTGATGCCTTTAGATTGTAGGATGTTTTAGCTATATCAGTATAAATCTTTGTCAATTACAAAGGGCTTTTATATGTAAAAGTACATTAACATCAAGAATTGCACTGTACGATGTAAAAAATTATACACTAAATCTTATAGGCTAAACTATATGGGAGAACAATGGTCTTAAAGTGCAGAATCAACTTGAATTTTTGGCTTTTATTCAGGTTGTTGATGTCACTATTAACATGACAGAGGACCTAATCCTTCCTCTTGTAAGCAGCCAGTTGGAGTCCTATTGTCCTAACTCCGTGCATCCAAAAATTTGCACTTATGGCATACATGGCATTTTTGAAAAACACTTTGTTTGGATTGATTGCGTTCAATTCTTAACTCTTCTGTGCTTTCTAGAGTAAGAGAAAAAAAGTATTAAACTTTAAAAATGAAGATGAAAAGAGGAAAGAAAGAGAAGAGCACACAACAGCAAATGTTGGACACTGCATAAA